AAAGCCCCGCCCATCATTCCTTTGAAAATGTTTATAAATAGTTTTAGAAAGTGTTGCAAGACTTTCTTTCCAACCCAATACCTAGTCCTAGTAGGCCCAATGAAGAAGCAGAAACAACACATATGGAGGGTACCACAAAAAAATGCATATACATTCATACATGTTTTATTGCTGTGACTGACATTTGAAAGATCAGGAAGTATCCATCTGCCCATCACAAAACTATACATCTGTTGCAAATGAGTAATGCTTTCTTTTGACAACCAATACAGAAGAAGAGCCTGAGATGAGATACATCTTAATGTACCACTCTATAGAATCATTGGATTTCTGGAGTAGATGATCTGGAAAACATCAACTTTGATGCCAAGCTCAATCATGGACTAGTAGCATTTACAAACATGGACACCTGGGAATTTTTCCCAGCATGCATCTTATGCACAGAGAGAGAGAGAGAGAAGACATTTATTAGTGCTGAATTTTTTCCAGACACAAAATTAAGTAAAGCACAGTCTTTTAGAATTTAGAACTAAAATGAACATATTTGATTCCTTATTTTAGCCTGATTCACTTTGAGCACATGCAGGGTTCACACAAGCTTTCTTAAATTTTGCATCCTGACACCTAGCTTCACCTCATTGGGAACATGTTCAGATTGTTGTCAATGAGTACCATGGATTTAGATGTTTTGCAAATATGAGACCCTCCACAAAAATATGAGTCAGGGACTCACTATAGCAAGCTAACGTGAACACTGACATGAGGGAGGTGATTTTAGCATTTTCAATGCCATGGAAATATGAAATGAATTGCCAATTCTCAATAGAGTTTCTAAAGTTTTGACATTTGGATAATTTTGCAAAGATGACATGATATCATATGTGCTTCTTACCTGCCCTAATGTCTCCTATCTGGCATGACATACATATACCACCATATCCAACATGGACATACCACCAAAGTCTTACCTCCAACTCCATATCTTTGACATACAAACCTTTCATTAAGTTCATATAAAGCCTTGTCACATAAGATCATAAACTCTGTTTCAATAAGAAAATGCAATCAGATATTTTCCCCTATATACCATATTTATTAGGTTCCAATATGGTTCTTTTTTTTTTTTCAATGTTTAAATTTCAACAGTTGCAGACTATTACCAGTGTTATTTGATCTTTGCATCCACTAGCCTTCACCCAACAGTATATTTTGCAGCCAATTCTACGATGACCCTTGAAATTTTAGCATTGAAGAAGGTGGTGTGTCCATATATTTATTATAGGCCTATATGATACAGCCTAAATGTCACACACAGTGCATCCATTCAAATCGCAGGTCATCAGATCTATGCGGTAACCACCTAATGAAGGGGTAATGAGGGAAAGAAGTGGGAAGAATCAATCAAATTGGCTACCCCTAAACCCAAGGGTTTCATAACTCCTATCACTTCAGAGAACTATTCCACAGGGTTTATCAATGGCACAACATACCATGGTGTTCCAGGTACGGAGGGGGGGGGGGGGGGGGGGGGGGGATACAATTCCACCTGCCTACTTTGTATGAGGCCCTGTATGAGGAAAGGTTTTTTTAGAATTTTGGGAAGAAAAGGATTGAAAGAAGGCAAAGCTGGAAGCTTCTTGCTGGTTTTCTTCTTCACTCCCCCTCTTCCAATCATCAATCATAGTTTTCCCTTTTGTCCCAAAGCCACCTGAAATGCTAATGTCTTCCTTAGCTAATCTTGCTTGACCCACAGTTCAAATGCATGCACAATATATATACCAACTTTTTGTAAAATCAAGTATAATTTTTCCAATAGGAAAGTTGGACTCAGAACCCCCTCCCTTCAACCATAGCTTAACGTTCATGGGGTAAACACTGCAGTTTTTGGCAGAGCTGATATGACTCCCATAGGAAGTGGACACCCTGTGCACACACCGAGAAACGCTAGTAATAGGTCCTTGTATGGCAAGATGTTGATAGAATGCTTGAACACAGCCAATTAACTAATTATGCTGGATTTAAGCCTCACTGGCCAAAAACTGGAGACCAGCCAGAAACCAGGGTGCTTACCATATGTCTGTCTTCCCATATGCAATGCAAATATGAGGCATTAAGTAATTCAAATAAAATATAAATGTGTTTTGAGCAACTTCTACTCTTTTTGCCTATAACTCAATGTTCATCAAGTTAGCTGATTACAGAGATTCAATATGGTATAGCCCATATATATCTACAGGGTGTTTCATGAGTTGCATAGCAATTCAAATTCACCATGTTTCCTAAATAAATAAAATGAACTTTGAAAAATCTACTGGAAAGGGTTTTCCTTATGGAGACTCACAGCATTGCACACATCCATAATGTTAAGGAGATGTGATGGGAGATTGAAGATGGAATGCTTCTCATGACAAGGCAAACAGAGGAAGCCCATGCCCTGAGGCAGGTAGGCAAAACTCCTCCCAAAATGTACAACAAGGACCAGGCATGACTTGAAGATGTCTCCATTCACCTAAATGCATTCACAAACTAATTACAATTCAAAAGTTATATCTTTAATTCTGGCCATCTGTATATACCACACAATGCCCGTGTCTGCATTTGAAATGTGAATGGCTGAAAGTTTACAGTGAACTTTAGTTTAAAGTTCCAAAACTTTGAACCCTCTTTTTGGAGTAAAGAAAATTGAATATTTCCCTTTAGAGTCTCTTCTATAAAGGTCAAAAGAGCTGAAAAGCTCACAGATGAAAAAAAGGGCAAACATATGAGCAAATGCTGACATAATTGAAAAACATAATCGGCACCTGTTACGTACAGTAGTGAATCCAGCCTGAGCAGAGAGGACTTCAGCTCCGATGAGAAGAGCATTGAGGGTGGCACCACCACTACCTAGCCTGGTCCCAGGATCAGGAATAATGAGGTACTCTGCATTCCCCCATATCAGCCTTTTCTTCTTCAAGATACTGAGCTCTAAGTTAGGATGAAATAAAAGTTTATTCAAAGTAGGGCCTTTTGCAGGAATGACAATTGCACCATAAATGCTGTGGCAGGCCCTCACTGCTGACATGAAAGCTGTGATCATAAAAATGATGAGGCTTAATGTTAGGCCTACCCTAGGTCTCCTGCCTAATTATAAGCAAGGCACATCAGCTAATGAGTTTGTCTATGCCAACAAATGCTCAAATGAAATCCTAGGCCTACCTTTTTCCAGGAGTTGGCAACTTAAGTCATCGGGTGCAGTCACTAACAACAGAAGTTTGTCTGATGTCATTGGATCTGCAGGTGAAGCGAATTGCACGCTTCCTTCCTGATACCTTCAAAATATGTATTGTCAAACACGTTCGGCCCAATATGTGATGAAGAAGAGGTTCAACCTGAGCCAATACGCCATGCCTTGCAACGGCATCAAAACCATATTTATACCGTTTCCTACAACAAGAAACACGTCTAAGTCTGTAGATGAAACGCAGGTGAGCCTTGTTTGTTCGGTGGAAAACCAACTAGGATGAACCTCACAGGCCAACGGGAATCACGTGGGACAGCTGATCACGTCTTGCCGTCAGAGCTGCCAGAGCTAACAGGGTTCTGTTTGCCATTATTGTATCAAAAGTCTTCCAGGAAAATCCTTTGCTTCTCTTTTTAGCATTCTCTACGGGACTTTTCAAGAGTTTTACTAATGAAGGATCATGTGTAATTCATTAACCATATCGACCTGCGTCAACTGCGACAGAAACCAATGAAGGCGCGAGACCTCCTTGCCCTCCCCAAGCTTCTCATATTCTCACTTATCTCGAGTTTCCGTCATTCTCACTTATCTCGAGTTTCCGTCAAACGGACGGACAACCTGATGAGAATCGCCGGGGTCGGCATCCGGGTCGTCGGCGAGATCAGCAGGCAAGCGAAGGCCTAGGCGTTCTTTCTCCGAGGCTTCTCGAACCGTGGCAATGTCGTCTCTCGAATCGGGTGAGAAAGCTTCATTGCTTTCCGATGGACTCAGACGGTCGAGGATTCAAAATGATTCTCGCCACCTTCGCGCAAATTCCGTGCGCAAATGAACACCCGCGAGAAAAACACGGTGAAGTGCAGCTTCGTCAGAGACAAAAGAACTCGGGAGTCTCTCGAGAACTGCAAATTCCATCACATCGACACAGCTGCGCTCATTAGTGCAAACAAGTGGAAAGGCGAATGGGCTCTCGGCCGAGTCCTTCGACTCGGAGATCCGTTTCGCCCTTTTGTTCGCCCAGTGTAAAATTGTGGAACGGGAAATGCCAAACGAACCTTGAAAATTTGGCGGGAGGGCGGGACGCCGCCTGCTCGACCGCGTGAACCGCTGCACCCAGCCGACGCCGCGAGATGCCCGCCTCACAGGCTTCGATTCGATTCCGGAACTCAATTGAAAAATGTCGTCGTCGATCAAGGCATCTGTCAACCCGGCGTTGCGAGTGCTAAATTTGATCAAGTCGGAGCGTCGATGTCGTTGCGTGTCATCGTGCGATTCCACCTGGGAGATGATCGGTGCGAATATTCGCCTTGCGCCTAGAAATCCGGTAGATATGACTCTCTTTAAGAATAAATCGTTAGAATCGATTTAGAAATACACGAAACTGATGAACAAAATTCATATCGTTAAAAGTGGTTGACGGTGCAGGCGAAGAATCGTACCGAAGCTTTACCAGCCATTAAAGGCGATACTAACTCCGTCGCCCTTTTTCTCGTCCTCTCCTCCGTCAAGAATGACGCCGGCAACCCTGTACCCTTCCGGCAACCCTGTACCCTTCCGGCAACCCTGGTCCTCCACCGGCTGGACGCAGATCTCGTCGTCTGCTACTTCGTCGCCTGGTTCGTCAAATACCAAGGGATTCGAGCCGGCCTTCATCAGAATTCACCCTTCGGCGTTCGTAACGGTCGAGTCGGATTTCGTTTCCTGTCTTCGAGATGGAAGCCTCCATCGGGGGAAGGGGAAGTCGTGGCGCTTCGTCATCGCTCACCCCGTGCAGGAGCTCCACATAAAGACTCAATACGTGGTGTCAAATGTGACCTTAATATTCTTTATTTAAAACGTGCATGACTGTGTTTGGAATCTGTTAAGTACAGATCATGTTTTGGCCATGCCGTAAGGGCTTCCCTAAAAAGTACCCTCAAGGTAGGAGAAACGTGAGTTCTCTCTTTCTATCCAGAGTGCAATTTCCCCCGGCCTTTCTGGATGCTGCGCACGTAGCATGCATTGAAATTACGCCATGAAACCAATCGATAAAAGTTCCGAGAATCGAAGAAAGCGGAGAAGATTGCGGTGCAGCCAGCCGTCGTGCATCGAGATGGGGGAAATCATTTCGAGGGACATCGGGGTATGCGAGGTATGTCGGCGAGGCCGACGGAGATGTCCGCCTGACACGAAGCCGTCAGGGCTAGGATGAGGGGGCCGGCTCGGATGACGGGACCGGCTCGGAGCACGAAAGAGTTTGAGCCCGCTTTCGTCGAGGCGAATGCTTACTGCTTATTAATGTTGGAGGAAGGTGACGTCAGGGGACCAACGACATAGCCCGGACAAGATGAGAAACTTTTCGTTTTCTTTCCCGAGTCCGTTAAAAATGCAGGATGAGAGTGACGAAGCCGGCTTGTAACGGATGGGGGCTTCTCGTGCTATTTCATGAATACATTTGGCAATATCTTAAGAATGGGTCCAGATTCTGAAAGCAAAATGTCCCAGAAATTCGCAGAATTGGAATTCTGGTGACATGATGAAGCGTTAGACCAGCGGTTCTCAAACGTTTTACGCTGGCTGCACCGCAATCTTCTCCGCTACCCCCCCCCCCCCCCCCCCCCCCCTAGTTTGAGAACCCCTGCGTCAGACGGTCGAAGGCGTCCGGAGAACACTTGGAGGCAACTGGGATTCCTTTCTCCCCGACGCGGAGGGCGTCTTCGTATCCTTAGCGCTCAAGGATGGTCGTCTCCCGGGAGACCATCAGGAGGGGAGGGGAGGGGGAGGGGGAGGGGTCTAGATCGTCTGATGTTCCGTCCTCCGTTCCTCCTCGCCTTGCATCGCGGTCTGGGCGAGTTGGAGTCCATTGAGTTGCGGTGTAAGTGGGGATGGGGAGTCGTGGGGAGCGTTCCTAGCCTTTTCTCTTTCTACTGTAGATTTCGTTCTCGGTATTCAAAGACGGTCCTATGCTTTCGAAGGCTGCGCCGAGCTTAATCTTAATCTAAACCCCCTCTTAATCTAAGAGCGACCTTAAGAGCATGGGCGAGCGATAGTCAGAAGTGATTCGATTCAGACGAGAGCGCGTCGGCGGGGCAAAGGACCCTCAGAGGTTCCTCACACGGTCTTCACACACTCACACGTGACTCACGGATCTCCATATGGCCATTAATCCGCCTCGGATCCTCGACGAGTTCGCGTCACCCGTCCGGGTGCAATCCCATGTGTTCCCTCTCGAGTTTGCATGCTCGAAGGGGGCACGGCACACTTCCGCGACATGCCATTTCCATTAGGAGCTCTTAAACGTCTCGTATCCATTTGGCATGCAGATTCCCACCCTCGAACGTGAGAAAATGACAGAGGGGACTCGGAGAAGAGGGAACACGCGTGGGATCAGGTCGCTTGAGAATTCCGAATCTCATTTCATTTTGTGAGGATTTAATTATCCTAATGTCTTCGCATGATTCACATTTTTTTTTTTACATTTATGGAATGAATGAATTTCGGTTGAGTCGAGTGTTGATGAAATCGCGACAAGTCAAAATTCAGAGAAACGACGGTGCTGCCGGGCCACGGGGATCGCAGCAGCCGTCCCAGATAGGGTCGCCCAAGGCGCGGGGGACCGCTGGGGACCGCCGGGGACCGCTGGGGACCGACCCCGGGCGCTGCTGCACGCCGTTCTCAATGCATGCATTCAGTTCCACGTTGTAATATAAAAAAAAAGTCCAACGAGGGCCGCACGGTCATTCGTCCGCATTAAATCTTCTCGATTTCAAGCATTTTCAGCCTTTCCTTTTCAATATTTCGGAAGTTGATCATCGGCGCCATTCAGCACCAAGCTGCAGCCGAAACACCTTTCTGCGAGGATCTCTCACTTGCATTTCCTTCGTCTTCATTCCGTCGTCGCCTCGAGGAGGCCCGAAAATTCGTGGAGCTGAAGATTTTCTTCCTGAACGTTTCGGCAATCCAGCGCAGGGAAGTGTGATGAGTCCAGAATGTTGCCAATCGCTTAGACCCGAGCGAGGCCTTTAAAATAAATACATAAATATATGTATAGACCCAGTGTTGCCAAACACACTGCGCATCCCCGAAGTGATCTTACCCAGTTCTTCCAGAAAAGTTGTCCTCCCTTTTTTTTTCTAAACGCAAATTACCATCGCAATAAGGATCCATTGCACGGACGAATTTCAGATTTTTTATTTGGGCTGCTATTTGCTTGAAAGGCGAGGAGGAGCCTCGGGAAGAAATCACGTGGGCCATGAAATTCGGATGAGATCTTTTAAAGAGTCCTTCATGAAATATGTCCTTAAGGATTTCCGGCGTCTCCCAAGGGATCCTCATCCTGAATAATCATGGATTATTCAGAATCGCCTCGGTGATTATTCAGGTTAACCCTCGAGAAATGAAAAATGCAGATCCCTACCCCGCGTTCCTTAATGGTCTTCATCCCCTCGAAATCGGGGGTTGATGTCAGGGTTGTCGGATGGTCACATTTTCAACATCGTATACATGTGGAAGAGTGTGGAAGAGAACTCCTCCGTGGCCGTCAAGCGCACGAAGCAGAGACAGACGACTGAACACAAACGCAGAGTCCGCCTCGTACTCGAGACCGAGCTGTCCGGCAAAAACAAGATCTCTGCCCTTAACAGCCATGCCACTCCTGTCCTCAACTACAGCTTTGGAGTTATCGATCGGTCACCTACGGAACTCCAGGCCATCGATCGAGCGACCAGAAAACTCCCAACCGTGCATCACACCCACCATCCGAAGGCTGCCGTCGAAAGACTCCGAGATGCAAGGGAGGGAGGGGACTGATCGAACTCGAGTCCCTCTATAAGCGGACGACGTGCGAAGTCGCCAGATATATCGAAAGGAAGCAGGGAAAACTCATTTCCATCCTGAGAGGGCGAGATGCCCTGAAGAAATCCCACACCATCCAGGGAGATGCCACCCGCTTCCAAAACGCACTACATCTCCATGACGACTGCGACACGACTGATGTGAAGATGGCAGGCCAAGTACAAAGAGAGGCACAATGGAAGGAGAAACCGCTTCAAGGCCAGCATCCCAAGATCATGGATAGACCATCGATCGACTCGGACGTCAGCTAT